AAGAAGAAGAAGAAGAAGAAGAAGAAGAAGAAGAAGAAGAAGAAGAAGAAGAAGAAGAAGAAGAAGAGAGAGAGAAAGAGAGAGAGAAAGAGAGAAATAAATAAATAAATAAATAAATAAAGAAAGAAAGAAAGAAAGAAAGAAAGAAAGAAAGAAAGAAAGAAAGAAAGAAAGAAAGAAAGAAAGAAAGAAAGGGTCCCGGGTGCTCTCTGAGCTTGGTTGTTTCCTTGCAGACGTTTCATGACCCAACTAGGTAACATCATCAGAGCTAGAAGGGAGAGGAGTTTGTGGAGTGGAAGAGAAGTAAAAGTGGAGGAGGAGGAAGAGGACTCGGTGGTCCTTGGTGCCCTCTGAGCTTGGGGGTTTCTTTCAGATGTTTCATGAGCCAAGTAGGCCTTCTTGCCCAAGCCTTCAAGGGCAGGCCCCTGTGCCTTGCATCCCGTGGTTGATCCTTGAGGGGAGCTGAACCCCGGTTTCTTGTTCTGCCCTGCAGGTGACGTGCGTGGAGAAGGCCGGGAGCGATGAGAAGATGCTCATCAAGATCTTCCGGTGCCTCGGCAGCTGGTTCAACCTGGGCGTCCTGGACAGCACCTTCATGGCCAACAGCAAGTTGCTCTCCCTGCTTTTTGAGGTTCTGGTGCGTGTCCTGGAGTCCCCCCGTCCCAAGGCTTGGAGGGGCAGCTGGGCGCCCCCTGCCCAGAAGGGAGACACCAGGCAGGTGTCTTAACTTGGGGACCGTTGTAGGAGCAGAACAGGTGGCCAGTGGCATCTCCCCCGTAGGTCAGCAGACAGTTAGGAGGAAGATGAAAGGACTTCCATCTTAACACCACCCCGATAAATTAGAAACAGTTAGAACAATTAAGCAGTGGAACTCCTTGCCTCCAGAAGTGGTGAATGGTCCAACACGGGAAGTTTTCAAGAAGAGACTGGACAGCCATTTGTCCGAAATGGTCTAGGGTTTCCTGCCTGAGCAGGGGGTTGGACTAGATGACCTCCAAGGTCCCTTCTAGATTTGATTCCATTCCCATTCTATTCTATTCTATTCTATTCTCTATTCTATTCTATTCTATTCTATTCTATTCATTATTTTATTATTTCTATTCTATTCTATTATTATTTTATTATTATTTATTCTATCCTATCCTATCCTATCCTATCCTATTCTTTCCATTCCATTGCATTCCATTCCATTCCATTCCATATTTTCTGTTCTGTTCTGTTATTCTATTCTATTCTATTCTTTCCATTCTATTCTATTCTATTCTATTCTATTCTATTCTATTCTATTCTATTCATTATTATTTTATTATTTCTATTCTATTCTACTCTATTATTATTTTATTAATTCTATTCTATTCTATCCTATTCCATTCTATTCTATTCTATTCTATTCTATTCTATTCTATTCTATTCTATTCATTATTATTTTATTATTTCTATTCTATTCTACTCTATTATTATTTTATTATTATTAATTCTATTCTATTCTATCCTATTCCATTCCATTCTATTCTATTCTATTCTATTCTATTCTATTCTATTCTATTCTATTCTATTCTCTATTCTATCCTATTCCATTCCATTCTATTCTATTCTATTCTATTCTATTCTATTCTATTATTATTTTATTATTATTTATTCTATCCTATCCTATCCTATCCTATTCTTTCCATTGCATTCCATTCCATTCCATATTTTCTGTTCTGTTATTCTATTCTATTCTATTCTTTCCATTCTATTCTATTCTATTCTATTCTATTCTATTCATTATTATTTTATTATTTCTATTCTATTCTACTCTATTATTATTTTATTATTATTAATTCTATTCTATTCTATTCCATTCCATTCTATTCTATTCTATTCTATTCTATTCTATTCTTTCCATTCCATTCCATTCCATTCCATTCCATTCCATTGCTTGGTTATGGGAAATACAGGGGATCCTCGACTTACGACTGTTTGAAATTACAACCGATCTACAACGACATCTCCCCTATGACAAGAGACAGTTAGATAGAAGGTCCCAGGACTCCCGTCTTAGCACAATCCTGATAAATGGGGCTTAAGTACAGAAAGTTCCCAACTTATGATTCTGACCTACCTTGGTGCTAGTTATGACCTGGATTCAAAGTTCCCAGGCTTCCCTGCCCGTGTTCGCGTGACCAACCAATTAGACACAGGTTTGTAATCATCCCTCTCCATCCAGTGTGGTAGGAAAGTGTGAATAACCACAGCTGGTCAGGTAATCTCGGGGGCATGGGAAAGGAGGCTGAACGTTAGCTGAGATCCTTGCGGGAAGATAAAGCAAGATCTCTGGGTGGCCTCTTTTCCAGCAACAGGACAAGACCTCGTCCAACTTGCACGAAGCCGCCTCGGACTGCATCTGCTCCGCGCTCTACGCCATCGAGAACGTGGAGACCCACCTTCCCCTCGCCCTGCAGCTCTTCCAGGGCGTCCTGACCCTGGAGACGGCCTACCACATGGCCGTAGCCCGCGAGGATCTGGACAAGTGAGTACCTGGAGCATCCTGGGCCCTGTTGCTGGGAAGTGTTCGACGGCAAGACGTTCAGCTGGGGGGCAGTCAAACACGTGTGGCTGTATTGAAATTCCAATCTCAGCTGTTCAAGGAAAAAGAAGTTGGTTCTGGGTTCAAGGAAATGTTCCAAAGAGGCACCGGGTTAGAAACTGGGAGACGGTGAGTTCTAGTCCTGCCTTAGGTATGAAAGTTGGTTGGTGACTTTGGGGCAATCACTGGGAGACCTTAAGTTCAGTGTCCCACCTTAGGCTCCAACACTGGAAGTTTTTAAGAAGAGACTGGACAGTCCTTCGTCCGAAATGGTATAGGGTTTCCTGCCTGAGCAGGGGGTTGGACTAGATGACCTCCAAGGTCCCTTCCAGCTTTTATTATTATTATTATTATTATTATTATTATTATTATTATTATTATTATTATTATTATTATGGATCATCACACAGTCAGCCAGATGTTCAGACTGGATTTGGCATTTTGTCTACCTATTATTATTATTATTATTATTATTATTATTATTATTATTATTATTATTATTATTATTATTATTATTATTATTATTATTATTATTATTAAACTGCCTTGCCTTGTCTGGCCACCTGCCCTGATTTTGTTCCAACTGAGATTGTCTTGCCGACTTATGACCGCCTGGCGTTTTATTTTATTTTATATATTTATTTTTGCC